AGTTTGTTGTTGTTATCTTGTTTTAAGGGGGGCACTAATCCTTTAAATCCGGTACAACAGCTACTCTAGGAGGAATGTTTTTATGCGCTGCTAACGATTTAATAATTATCTTTGTAGTTTCAGAATGTTTCAGTCTATGCTTCTACCTATTATCCGGGTATACCAAGAAAGATGTACGGTCTAATGAGGCTACTATGAAATAGTTACTCATGGGTGGGGCAAGCTCTTCCGATCCTTTGTAGAAACTACCTGTAATAACTAACTTGCAAAATGAATCTGTTTATCATAAAGAAATTCGTCGTTCCTAACCCTGCTTCACCTTAATTGTTATTTGAATAAGTCAAAGTTCTGTCTTGGTCCAAGTGGAGATAGCATTTCTTAGAAGGATCGAGTTTATAGTTCATCCCCACTCTCCCCTCTGCCTCATCTCTCCTTTCCATTTCCTATATTATTTTCCCAAGAGTGAGAGAGAGATTTGAGTGAATTGATTGAATAGAATCTAATGACTATAATAGGTCAAAACCCTAGATTGTTGAAGAAAAAAGGTTGTGCCAGAAGATGACATTCTATCAACAATAGATTCAGTTTCTTCCAATTCTAGCAACATCTTCCCAAACAAAACTTGGTTTGGACACCAATGGATTGAAAATAGAAATTACTATGTTCTCATACATGACAATGAAGATATCAATAAATCATGACAATTTCAACAACAGAGTTTCGGGGTAAGCAGCCTGCCCCATCAACATCATCTTATTTCAATTACTTTGGGAGTTAAAATACTATTGACTCTTGAGTACTTATTAAAAGCCAATGTTCTTGAAGATGTTGTATGCACATACCTGTCCTGGAAAGGAGCTATATCTATTACTATTTCTCCCATTTCTGTCAATGTTGCGGAATCTTACGGTTGGAAACACTCGTGGATGCCTCGAGGGATAACTTCCTGCAACCATTTGCAGCCCTTCATCTGAGGTCATCACTTGACCAGGGCTCAAGTTGTCCGAAGGTCTGGAAGATGGAGCATATCTTGGACCAACACTCCTAAATCCTCTGACAGACGGCCTCGAGTTGGGCTGTACATTTGGAAAAACAGGGTTTCTACTTGAGGTAACACCATTGTGGCACCCCTCATCCTCTAGGGAAGCACTAGGATGATTGTTCACTGTATTCAGGGAGTTGGGCTCTTGACAGTAAAAAATGGTATCTGCAATTTGAGAAGAAAAAATTCTTACTACCATGTTACACATGAAGAAAAGCCATAAACCTTACATAAGGTGGAAGACATACCATGACCAGTAGTAGATATGACCCTATGATTCCATTCCCTCGTTGGAGCATTTGAACTCTGCCCACAGAAATCCACTAAACTAGATTGATCAGAGGATAGACTAGAAAAAGAATGGTGCAGAGAATTGCTAGACGAATGGGTCCTGACCGGAATATTTTCCATGTCAACTTCAGCTCTACTCCTGATATTCCTCAGAGCACCTTCACCACCAACACAAACACTATTAACCCTGTAACTAGGAGGATTCTCCAAAGGTGTATGATAAGATTCAGTCGTCTGCGTCTCCTGCCATGGGTCAGAGGGAAAGGAGAGATCTGACGAACTTCCAACATTATGATATCTTCTAGCACTGCCACTCTCATGTATTGGAAGGGCTCCAGGGCTCTTTCGCTTATATGGGCCCCTGTCATTGACCACTGTCGGATCAGAAAAACCACCATCTACCCAAGGGACTGTTTGCCGAGGAAGATTGGATGAGGATGCATGATGTGGGTAATTTTCTTGAAGCATAAGGAAGTTCCCAGAAGGAGATTGATGAAGAAAAGGATCATGCGATGGGCCAGGAGCCTGTGGTTGATAATGTGCCATTTCAACATTAAGATTGGACGAAGAGTGTCCACTCGGCATAGGAGCAGCAGTCCACATAGAAGTGGAGTGTCCACCTTGGATTGTCATATTATCAACAGGATGAATATGTGCACTGCCATCAGAACCACCGGCCCTTGCTGCAGAAACAACAAAGATGAAGTACATAAAAGACAAGATATTTACCCAGTTAGAATGAACAAGATAACACCATCAAGGTGTTACGGGAAAGCGAGAACATTTTTCTAAGATGATTATGATGCAAACGTTCATCTAGATAGATTCTTTTAATGGATAAAAAATATCGATGATGAATATCAACCATATGCAAATTTCGATGGAAGTAAAATGAAATTCAAATGCTAATACCCATATGCAAGTGCGGTTGCTCTGCATGATTCCACTCCTGATTATTATCGGTCTCAAAAATCTGAGGTGCCTTGAGTACATGTCTACGGCCCATAGCTGTCTAAGCCACAGAACAGAAAGTTTGTTTCTCAAGCAGACCAAAACCTGCAATCACAAAAGGTTCAGAAGAGCTCACAATGGAATTATAGATAAATGAACAAAATAGAAGAGCACATTTCAACAACTCCATACAAGTTAAGGTGACTCGATGTAGATCTCATTTTACCAAGTATTACTAACCTTCAAGGCATGATGCTAATTACCCACCCCAAAATAAATACATATAAATTTAGATATTACTCAAATAAGCAATTAATCTTGATTGTTTTCTTACTCAAGCTGATTTCAGCCTCCATTTAGTAAGATCATGATCTTTAAATAAACAGCTTAAGCATCACTAACTCAACAAAGTCAACCAAATGGTAAGCAACCAACACACAGCTCAATTCAATGACAATATACTTCTGCCAACAAGCAAAGAAATTGAGTTGTTCAGTTGAGAGCTTATATCCAATTGCTCTCGGTATCTAAAGGTTTGTCGTTATGACCACAAATCAACCACACACTCTTCCATCATACAAACCACGTAGTATGCACATTTAGCCCAACCCAGTACATCAATTCCATGCTGCCCAGTTGTGTTGAAAAAAAGAGCTGATTAACATAATTCATAAAAGACATAGAAGCACTCACCTTGTCACCATAAACCAACATGGAGAGAGTAATGTAACCCCCCTCTCTCCCCAACTCCAAATGTATGTGGAACCATTCAAATTTAAAGAGACACCTTAATATTAACGGCAAGGAGCTCTCGAAGGAGCCTCACTTTATTAGACAGAATGATTGACAGCGCAAATAAATTCCACAAAGCAAGAAAATTATAATATTTTGCAAAAATGACGTAATCCAGAGGTTACAATCTCTCTCTCTCTCTTTTAATTCAGAAGTTGACGCATATCACACTGCAACCGTGGCACGGTCAGTCTAATGATTCTTGGAGGACACTCCAGATGCCAAAATCAAATTTGTTCATTTTATCATCCAGATAGACTAAACGTGCCTGCAACAATATTTATAATTAAGAGTCTTCATACCAGGAGACTAATTAGCTATTTACTTTAATATGTATCCTGTATGTCTAGGTAACAAGTGATTTCCAGGCTTGTCAAAAACTAAAGTTTCACCAAGGTACAAAAGATGCATACAAAAGAAAACCAATATTTTGTCCATGCTGACCTACACTAAGACATTTTCTAAAAACTGCATAGAAAACTTTTTATCATTGATGAGTACTGGACCACAACCAATTAAAAACTGATGTCATCTGGGAAATTGCTTTGTGAAACAATTATCAGTCTGGAAGGCTCTAGAGAGAGGACTAAGCAAAGAAATGTCTCACCGTCATGTTACATCCCTCATTCCACGGGCTTCGCAAACTCGTGTTCATTTTAAAGGCAAGGAAGATGAACCAATATAGTAAACATCACTGTCCCAAAATTCAGGCTCGAGTAAATCACAAATGTCTAGGGTTGAACTATAGGCTGATATATACAGATTCTAAAAAATCGAAGGCCAAATCCTCCATAAATACAAGCCACCAGCAACCGTTGTAATCCGTAATAATACTACCTCAAAAGGTATTTGACTAAGGACCTAGGAAGATAATGATGAGCAGAAATTTATTCGAATGATGCTAAAAGATCAGCAAAAAGGGTACTTACAAAGATAAGATATGATACATTCATATTCAAGCAACATTGACAACCACTGAAGGCATATTAAATCAAACAAATACGATCAGAATGGTACAAAATTAATAATCCAATGGGGAATAATTTAATTACGATAAACTCTACAATGAGCGTAAAAGAAAAGTTTATAAGTCAGCATTTAGAAAGATGATCAAGAAAGTGCACCAGACAATGAATGTGCTCCGAATGGCAGCATTGTTTTTATGTTCGCTTTACTTTTTCAGAAAGTTCTTATATTAATTTGAAAGGCTAATCCAACTGTATATAATGTAGCTCAAACAACTGGGATAGAGCATATTTGGCTAATTTTAAAAAGTTTACTTACGAGTAAGTTTTAAAATAAATAGTCTTATTTATTAGCGCAGACTTGCAAATAAGTAATTTATTGCTATAGTTAAGTAAGATTTACAATCAAAGTAAGTAACTTTTTACAAAATAAATTAAATTATCCAAACATCCTTGGAAACAAAAACTTATTTAAAAATAAATTCACTTTTTTTAAGCTTCGCAAAACAGGCTGTAAAGAGAAAACTGAACGACTCATTTCAAATAGGGAAAGCTGAAAAGTTAATGTAAAAATACCAACCTAAACAGTTCCCTATTAACTGTAAAGTAATCTAACCACGCTGAAGTTTAATCATTTCTATAAGAATCCATCACATAATAAATAAATTGAAATCTAGAAAGAAAAAAAATATATAATAGAAGCAAATATACCCATCAAAACTTATACAGTCAAAAAAATAGCAGCAAAAATTATACTATCATGACACCTGCTCAGCCAAGCATGCTAAAAAAACTAAACTGCCAGTAAAGATCGTAATCTCATACGGAAATAAAACAAAAAACGCACATTAATTCAGAGAAAAAAAAGTTATTTAATAAAAAATTATCGTAAACAAAATAACTAACAATCAGTTTATTTAACATAAAAAAAAAATCATAGCAAGACATGGATGGTTCATCTGAAAATAAGAAAAATGAAAACAACATAGACCAACAAATAGAAAATAAAAAATAATAATAAAAACTGGTATTCAAAGAGTTATTATTAACGATAAAAAAAAGGAAAAAAAAAAAAGAAAGAGGTACCTCGGAAAATCGATGATCCGATTGTTATCTGAACAATCGAGAAAAGTATACAGTGTTGATTTATGTATAGACTCAAAGGGAAACGCAAGGGAGGAAACGGTGAAGGGTGTTTTATAGCGGTTGGGTCATGAACGGGTGCGGGGATTACAATAATAATATATTAATAATATTGTGTGCATAAAAATAGTTAGAGCCTGTTTGGGCTCGATTTTTTTACCAAAAAAATTAATTTTTTGACCGTTATTTCATTATTTCAACTGTCATATTTGACTTTTTCTTTCACAGATGGACTCCACTTTTCTCTTAACGATCAAAAAATTAATTTTCAAAATCACTCCCAAACAGGCTCTTAGAGCCCATTTGTTTTGTCTTCTATTTTACATTTTCACGAGAAAATTATTTCAAGTCAACTTTTTGAAAGTTTTTTTAATAAGATAAAATAGTTTTAAAAATTATCCAAACATATTCAAAAATAATTTAATGCCCGTTTGATATTACTCTTATTTTTACTTCCTATAGAAGAATTTTTGAAATAAGTTGTCTTAAATTTTATTTAAAAACTATCTTATAAAAATACTTTTAGATCAGAAGAACCTTTACAAAAAATCACATTGGACCAATTTTTTTAAAAAAATCTTTGAATTAGAAGAAATAAAATTAGTCACATAGGGTCCAAAAACTACTTTTAGATATTAAAAACTTCTTCCTGACTTTTCAAAAAATTGTCAAATGAGCCCTTTATCTTAAAAACTACTTTTAACTTTTAAAATTTCTTGTTGAGTGGATTCTTACCCATGGATACAATTACAATAATTAGCAAGAATAATGCTATTTAACATCAATTTAGGTGTCAACATGTAATATATCCTAATAAATGAGTCATAAATCCTTAAATTTAATTGAAACTATACTTTAGTGACATGATAAATGTCACCTAGACCAATGTTAAATACTCATAGTGCTGAATAATATTCTCAATTATTAATATATTTGTTGAATTTTAAAATTTAAGTGAGTATGAGCCCGAAAACAAAAATCGAAACATATACATTAGAAAAATATAAATCAATAATTTGAAAAGATAAGGATGTAAGAATAGTTGTAAAAGTAATGCAATTGTGACATATTTTTTGGGAATAATATTATTTGCACATAAACAGTTACATTGACTTACATATAAATGAAGTGCAGAAAAGAGAATGAATTTATTTTTATTTATTATGTTGAAAGAATCCTAACCCGATCATATCCCACTACATTGTGTATGTAAACGTAAGCCTATTGTGTTACATGAGCCTATTATATACATGTAACACAATCAATATTTTTTATACTGACTTTAACCCTTATATGATTTGGATAAAATTTAAACTTAGTAGATATTAATAAAAATTTATGAAGTTTGTGGTTAAAATTAAACATATACTAAATTTGATGTGTAAGATTATTTTTTTTATTATTTATGATTATACATTCAACCTCTGTTTGGTGGAAATTAAAATCATTTTTTAGAAAATTTCGATAAAAGTTGATTAAATATATGGTTGAAAAGTTGTGAATCCAATAAAATATACGATTAAAATTAATGTTGACTTTGATTTATATTAAAATTTGAAATTTAATTTTTATCAAACGTGAGCTCAATGACAGAAACTTCTTTTTCTACTTTTGATCTTCATGTTTTTGGTGTTTTGGTTTCCTCTCTTTACGTATATCTTTAATTTAATAATATTTAACTCATATTTGGACTTTATTTTTCAAAAAAATCATTTCAATCACACTATGTTTCACAAAATAATTTTACAAGTAAACTCATTTTTTATTCACACATTCTTATAAAATCTTTCTATTTTAAAATACATTTTCCTTTAAAATTTCATTTTAACGAATATTGTAAAGGGGCCTATTGGTAGAGCTTGACTAGATAGGCAAGTACTTGTGATTTCAAAAGTTATTTTTCTTATCTCTGTAAGTTTCTATAAGGTTTGGTATTCAAACTCTATATTAAATAAAAAGTTTGTTTCTTATCTCTATGAGCTTCTGAAATTTTTTTCTCGTTCACAAATTGTGATAACAATCAAGATTTAAGCATTATCAAAAGTATGCTTTACAGTTGCCTCTCTAAAGATCCTCTACATTAGAAAAAATGACACTATTGATCAAAAGATCCAATATAGTGGTTTGGTAATTTTTGTAATACCAAAAGTTAGGCCCTGTGTTGTCACCCAAGAGGGCTTGTTACAAGCTAGAATATCGAGTATTATAAAGAACATCACACTCCCACCATACAGGTATCAAAGCCATGTTGTTATTTTGGTCTTACTATTTTTTATTGGGGTTATCCAGCATGAAAGAAACTTGGAAGAACACCTTGTAAATCATGTCTGTTGAAACGTTCAGTTCCTCTATGTTATCTCCTTCTACCTTCTTTTGTAAAACTAATGATTCTAAAATCGACTCTCTTAATGAAATATCCTACATTTCTGATGTTGAAAAAGTTCCAGTCAAATATCTTCCTTTCGTAAACCCTTATCTCCCATGTAATAAACAACATCACTTTTTTACTAAAACTATCCAAAGCCTTATTTCACCATCAAAATCTTAAATCAAATAATATGTCCAAGCTTCGAAGTTTTTGACTAATATCTTTTACCTATCACTGAACAATAGCAGTTTGTCACTTTGGAATTACCATCCCATCTTCCAAAAGCATGCTTATTTAAGAGTTTTACCCATATTCATTTTGGAGCTGTAAGAATTGCATTCACTCTTCATGAACGAAAGGGACTCCAGATGGTTTCTAGAATTGCTATTCTAGATTCATGATTTATTGATTATCAACGTGCATGTATTGGTACCATTGAAACCATACTCAATGTCGGGAAAACAATAATTGTTATTATGTTTTTTTCCAAATTTTAACATGTCAATAGCAGATCTATTATTATTATTATTATCAACTTTAAAAATTTAGGTCTAAATTGTTGGTACAGTTCCAACAACACTCACATATAAAGCAACTCTTCATTATCAGATGGCTCATAAGATCCAAAATCATTCCCTTGATTTTGCCACTCCTTAGGGAATAGATGATGCCATACTTATCCAGATGGAAATGGACCAACCAAGTTATATATGTCCCCAAACAAATCCCCAGATTTAAGCTCATTAAGCTAATCCCACATATGTGGATTACTATTTATGAGCAGCACATTAGGCATCAAAAGTTTTTATGCACATCCAGTCATCAACCCATCATTTTAGAAAGAAGTCAAATGGTGAAGTTGAAATTATGTTCAAAAAAGAATCCTCAACTAAATAGCCTCGTTGTTTCTCAACACAATTTGCTTTTTCCAACAGAGAAATCCCTATCTATGGATTTGATGCAAATGGCATGCCTATTTATTCAGATCTGATGAATCATGACATATTATTGGGATGTATGTTTATGTTCGAAATGTTTAATGATGAAGAAAACCCTGTTGGAAGTTTTGATCATTATGTCAAATATACTCCGTCTGCAATAAATGATGAACCCATTATTCTTACTAGTTGGGATGATGATGATTATGACCAACCACATAAAAAATAGAACTGGGATAATGGTCTATCTCCATCTCCACAAATAGACATGCCTATAGCTATGTTTCATTTTCCTCAACGATAAGATTTTCCTCCATTGACCTCTTTTGATAAAGAGCGGCCTACTCGTGCCTAAAAAATCGAAAATCTTACATCCAGAAAATCAGATGATTCAATTGACCATATTTCTGGGGTAGAAATAGTTTTGAATTAGCAGCCAGAAAATGTAGTTCATCGAAATTTCTTGTTGAAAAAATTTGACCAAAGTCAGCAATGAGTTGAAATAACTCTTCAATAGCAAACACAACTAATGTTAACCCTTCTCTAAGCTTGTAAACAAAAAATTGAGCCCCTTTGTGCTAAAATTATGACCTTGCTACAAAATCGTTTTCTGATAGCAAACCAAAAAAGAGAAACGAGGAATCTCAAAAGTCAACTTATTTATCTTGAAAACAATTATATAATCCCACATTTCACTTCATACCACCCAAAGTCATATAACCATATCTCTCAAACTTCAAGACTAATGTATTCAACTAGAACTTTTGGATCTACAACTTCACTTTTTACCACTAAAGAGTGGGAAAACAAGTTAAAACCCCTTCATCTTCCTAAAACAAAGAATCCTAAACCAATAATTTCAAAGAACCCTCAAGTTTTACCTCCGCTAAATCCAGAAAAATGATAATAAATGATAATAAAAAACCACATTACCACCTTTCTACAAAAGGCTCAAAACAATTCCTCTTATACATGTTGTCTTAACTGTTACAAATGAAATCAATTCTGAACCTGAAGGGTCCTCAAATTATTCTCTAGAAGATCATCCTCCTTTATATATGGCTGACAGACCATAAACAAGTCAAACTTAATAAGGAAATTCCGTCATTGATGAACCAGAAAGGATTGATGAAGAAATTGTCGATGAGTTTGATACTTATGTTGTGAGTAATTATTATTCATAAAATAATACTTCGGTAACCACGTTCACTTTTGATGATATTCTTCCAAATCTGTGGAATACAAGATCCTAATAAATAAAAGCATGGTGTTCAATAGAATTATAAAAAGCCAAATATGACTCATTCATCTGTCATAAAATCCTTTTTGGCAAAGATTTCTGGCTTCCTTAAATATTGGTTTGATGCCTTCAGTGAATATCGTCAAATCAAATATACAAGTGCCTAGACAATTGATGCTTTTGTAGAATTATTATACTAGAAATTCTGCGAAAAGACAGATCATTTGAAGGATGTTGTAAAAGAATAATTTTTTAAACTAAAATGTCGTTCCTATTGCCCTAAAGATTTGGATAAACACTTTCATAATGCTACCAGACATTACTTTCTCATTGGAGGAATGGATGACACCAACATAAAACAAGGAATCTATACTGTAGTCTCTTGGGCACGAGACACTTGGAATGATTGAAATAAAGGAATAATCATTGTACCAACGATAAGAAAGGAAAAATAATTCACCAAATCTATGCAGCAATAAAAATTAATAATGAAGTAGATCTTGAATCAGTATTTTCTAAGGAAGATGAACAGTC